ACTAGGGAGGGGTGGGGGTCCAGGAGATACTGAACCCTGATCCTGTCAGAAGACAGGGAAGCAGGCTGGGGCTCTGTGGCCCTGAGACATGGGCAACGCAGGCCTGCTGGCCTCCATCTCTTCCTCAGAAATGTCTCGGCTTTCACTGCCTGGCATCCCTGCAAGCTGGCGCTGCCTTTCCCCAGCTGCTGGAGAGTGACAGTTTTCCTTCTCTGTTGGGCTTCATGGTCTCTTTCTGCGACTCCAAAAACAAGTTTCCAATGAGACTGAGCAGTTAAAGCCACTGCCATGCAGTATGTGCCTGCTTGTGAATGTCACTGCCAGTGACGTCCCTGCTGGCGAGGCCCAGTCCTGCCCGCAGTGACCGTCACAGTGGGGGGGCAGACACCTGCATGGGGCTAGGGACCTGCTAGGCACCTGGGAGGTGTGGTGGTGTCCTGGGAGGCAGCAGAGGATCAAGGCCACACCCATCTTCAGGGGACTGGGGGCCCCTTGGGCAGTGGCCTTAGGGAGGAAGCCGATGTCACAGGGTGAGGCTGTTGGAGAGAAATGTAGTCCCCCAGGAGTCTGGCAGCCCTGGGCATGCAGGGGCGGGCAGGGCAGCGCCTCTGCCAGAGATCTTTCTGCAGATGAGGATCAGGATCCATACTGGAGAGAAGGGGACCCTGAGTGGCTCTGTAGAGCGCTGGCGATGGGGCAGGGGGCTGCCCTCTGGGATTCCTCTCTCCATTGTTCTTGGGCGCTCCCTGTCTCTCCTCTCAGTGGCACTTGGGTCAGCTCAGGGAGCTGGTTATCATCCTTATAGAGGACCTCGGCCCTAGACCACCCCTCAAGTTTGTTCCTGCAGGGTCTGTGACATGGGGTGAGGGTCCTGCTCAGCCTAGACCCTCAGTGAGACTCTGGAAGGTCCTCCCGGTCCTGAGCACGGGGTTTGCAGGACACAGAAAACATGGGTGCCGTTGTTCTACAGGGTGGTCCTGCCTGCACCCCGCTCCTGGGCTCTCATCAGACCCCGGCCGTGGGGCAGTCAACTTCAAGGCAGAGCTTTCTGGCAGCCTGCTCTGCTCTGCCAGCCCCTTTGATCAGCCAGGAGTCTGGGCAAGCCTCCCTCGTCAGGCCAGAGGAGGGAAAGTGAGGCTCGGCCCCTCCTTACAGTCATGGGGTCCGCATTTCCGGCCCCTCTGAGAGCTGGTGCCTGCCTCTCTAGTCTGCTCACCCTGGTGGCTAACGATGACAGCACTCGGCTGGGGCTGGGGCTGGGGCTGGGGCTGAGCCTTCCCTGTGGCTGTTTTTTCCTGACCCTCCCACCTGACTCTTAGCCTGGTCTCCGGGAGGAAGGGGGAAGCCTGGACCTGGGGCACACAGACACAATCTGACATGTTAGGACAAAGCACCCCCACGCCCGGCGCGCAGAGGCCCGTGTGCACACAGCCTCGGGTG